TTTTTATAAACTGGCCATGTAAAATACCATACAACACTAAGATTAATGCCCCAAAAGAAAATAAACCAATGAAGTGAATAATTGAAAAAAAAAGAAATTAATTTAACTCACTAATTAAATTAATTCATGAAGTCAAATGAGGGCTAACTAAATACGGTTCAACTATAAATTTAAATAAACAAAAAGGTCGAACAATAGGGTCTAAACAGTAGCTTTCAACAGTTAGTTTAGACCATCAGTTTAACCAAACAAAAGTGTGTTAACCAGCAGGACTGAGGCTAGTGAGGGAGGCAGGTGACTCGGGGCAGAGAAGCCCCAACACAGCAAAAATAATAAAGAAAATATAAAGGATTCACCCCAGGCAAGTGAGCATTCATACCAACGTGAGGTAACCCAGAACCACCACACTCGAAAACGGGACCGCCACCTCCGAAGCCACACTCCACACCTCCTGCCTCAGCCTGCACAAAGAAAGCAAAATAAAATAAACAAACAGTATAAAATCTGTACAAATGGAAATTAGCTGTTCTCCTCCTGGACTCCAGCCATGAGCCCGGGGGAACTTCTTCCAAACAACTAATTTGAAACAAAGTAAAAGGAACGAAGCAAAACAGCGGCGCCTCTGGCCGGACCACGGAGCAATCGGTCCTCCTGCTAATAACACCTGAGCAGAAGGGAACTCCCTGCCCAGCAGCAACGGGGATTCAATAGGCGAGCGATGACGTCACACCCAACACTGATACAAATGCCCAAGCACAGTTGGAGCAGAGCCGATAGCACCATAAACGCAGCCTGAGGACACGGGCTGGCAACACCAAGGCGCAGCGGCTTAAAGGGACCAGCTGTTTCCCGAACCTACTTCATCACCGGAGGAGCTCCCCTTTTATAGCAGCAGTGCCCTCCTACGTACGGAGGGCGTACTGCTCTAGACCAATAAAATTGGAGCAGGCATTTCGTACTGCTACAATAGGATTAGAAAAGGCATAAAAATTTGGTTACAAGTAGATCCTAGCACATACTCATCGTCAGCATTAGCGATAGCATTATTGTCATGAGCTAATGAATGAAAATAGCGCAACTCACTACCAAACAAAAACACGACGATGGTCATTTAAAGCTTCTCCGGATCAATAAAAGATTAACCAACCTGAAATTAAACAGCTGTAGGTTTCCAGGATTGTAAAAGACGTTCGATTACAGTGTGAAAAGAGGCATGCAGCAAGAGTTAACATTTTTAGCAGTTAGCTTAGTGTTGTTTGTTAAAATCAAACAAACCAACCAGAAATTTGGATTTAAAAAGGCATCAAAAGTTGGTTACATGTATCTTAGCACATACTGATCGTTAGCGTTAGTGATAGCATTATTGTCATGAGTTGATGAAAAAATAATACAACTCATTAGTTACCTGAGCAAAAACAAGACTATCATCATTTAGAGCTTCTCTGGATCAATAAAAGGTCAACCAACTTTAAATAAAATAGCTGTTGGCTTCCAGGCTTGTAAAAGGCTTTCATTTGGTTTGCAGTGTAATATGAGGAAGGCGGCACAAAGTTGTTATTGATCGCTTCAGCGCTGGGTAAATCCTCCACAGTGTATGAAAAGTGCGACTTTTAAAACTAAATGAGCATAATCTAAGATGTATTTTTTCGTGATATCGCGTCTGTGCCAGCTCATTTAAAGTCTTAGTAAAGTCGCTTTCATCCATCGTGCTGCGTTGTATCTCTGTGTTTTGTTGCGGAGCAAAACACTTCCTGCCCCCTATTTGAATTTTGCGTGGTTGCAGACGTCACATGAGTGAAACCCAACAAGCTAACGACTGATAAGTCAGTCTCTCCCTAAAGCTATTGAAAACAGAAGGAACTAAACATATTGATTAGTTTGCTTTAATTGAAGTTTAGAGAATGTTACAAATATTGGTTTTCTTCATTGTCATTAGATCTTTCTATGAGATGTTTCCATGGTTTACTAAAAGAGGAATTATAAGCATTTCACAAGTTATTTAGTTTAGTTTATTTCTAACAAACTTCAAAAATTGACCATAAAACAATAGAAAACACAACAAAATGAGGAAAACATAAAATACAACCTCACAATAGAGCACAACATAAAAGTAAGACATCAAATGGTTATAAAGTAATTTATCAAAGGTTACACAAATATTTAGGTAATAATCAATATTTTTTATTGGTTCTTCTCATTTTCGGACCTCTGCATATTAGCCTTGAATGCTGTGTAAAGTTTTACTGAATCTAAGGGGTCTTGCTTGTCAACCCATGTTTTGGGAATTGACCACAACAACTCCTAGGGATTTAAAGTCCGGGGAGTTTCCTGGACCCAAAATGTTGGTGTTTGTTCTTTGAGCTACTTTATCAGTCTAGCCTTAGGGTCAGGTCTGCAACTAATGATTCATGCTTCTCCGTCTGCGTCAGTGCAGAGACATGCAGCGCCATTATCCGTCCTTGAGTAGGGCCCTGGCAGGCAAACTAGTACGTACGGAGTAGAGCCCACTTTTTTAAACATCCGTCGAACGAGACGGAGAACGCAAGCTTGTGATTGGTCAGGGCACTGCTGTCGTCTACACCGCCGCCATTGCGCCCTCAAAAATACAAAGAAAGCCAAGAATAACTAGCAGCAGACACAGAGAAGCTTGAAGAATACCTCTGGAAAAAAACTCTAAAATATGAACGTTTAATTCCCCCTTGACTGGATTAGTGAAAAGACACACAGCAAGCGTTTTATTTGTGGTCGGAAATGACAGGAAACGTGGGTTTAGAGCTGGCGAGTGCATGAAGAGGTGGAGGAGAATGAGAGACAAATTTGTCCGTGTTAAAAAGTCTTATTTACAAAAAACACAATATAAACACACGATCTTGGACCGATACGACAGGATACCACAGAACAGCGCTACGCCCTCTGTTGTCCTGGTGCGGAATTGCTTTGCAACACTCTCCAGGAGACGGAGAAGTATGAGAGCAAAACGCTTCCGTCACACACACACACACACACACACACACACACACACACACACACACACACACACACACACACACACACACACACACACACACACACACACACACACACACACACACACACACACACCCACTGCTCCTTTTTACCATGGGACCAAATACCTTAGCAAACATGACTGAAATTATGTTGACTTATCAATCAGCAGGAGCCTTGATGTAAAGTTTGCGAGATAAACAACGATAAAAAGTGACAATGAGACTCGATTCACTAGAACCTACATATGGAAGAATGCTGCATCACAGCTGCAGAGTGACTGAGTTCCAGATGTTTGTGCACTGCAGTGGTGCTGCCATTGAAAGAAAGCCCTTCTGTCAAACTGCATTCAGCGTTTTGTTTGTTTTCAGTGAGGTTCTTAGCTGTGGTCTCTAGTATGAACAAATGCCTTGTGAGTAATTTTCTGTAGAAAGAAAGCTGTCGTGCTCCTGCTTCAGGGATTAGAAGTTTGTCAGGGGAGTCGGTTGGTAGAAAAGGACAGGATTGTGAGTCTAGTATTCATGATATGCCTTTGTTTGCTCTTCTTTCCTGGGGAAAAAAAGGCTGTGTTGATGTTTCATCTCCACAAATATTACAAGCCTGAATGTGTTCCACCACGTTGTATTTGCCAATGTTTAGTTTCTACTAGTCAAGATACGCTCTACTCCCTCCTGGCCGCTAAATCAGTACAACCTTCCACGGTCGCTAGTCAAGGTGGGCAAGGCCATGAATGCTAATTTTCCTTGTGACGTAGAAGAGTCTGCCTTTTCCTGACCGGATTTCAATTAATCTGAAGGATCACCAGTTTTGAAAGCTGGACCATCAAGAAAGAGGATGAAAAGAAAAGCATCGCTTTAGAATTGTGGGTGTGAAGAAGAATCTTGGTAGTTACGTGGATGCAACACCAATGGCCAATTACCAGTGGTAGCACCTGACCTGACCTGACCTGAGCTAAGCATCATCAATTATGTTGACCAGTGGTCACAGTGCTACTTCTGCTCCAGTGCTTCATCATGCTGGATAAGACCTTATCAAACAGTTCTTCGATGTTTGGGAGGAGTTCCTCAGGGAGGATATTATGGTACTGTTCTTTGTCCATCGCTGTTCTGGCTAAAGTGTGGAAGTGTCCACTCCCTTTGCTGAGAGTCAGCTCCAAACATGAGTGGTCTCAGGATGATTTACTGCTGGTAGAACAAGACTGTTGGTGGCACTCACCTTTTCTTCTTTTCACCATTCTTTTTCCAGATGCCTTAAACAATCAGAATGGGGGTTAATCCAAGAACAGGACTTAAACTCGATCCTCAGCGGTCCAATCCCTAGACCCTCTGCAGAATATCAGTCTGTCCCTGAAGGTTTTCTTGAAGAGAGCCAGCTTCTTGCTGCCTTTTTGGACACCAAACCATCCTTCAAAAGGTTTTTTTTTGCCTCACTGAAGGTGCTAATGCACAAGCTCTGCACTGGTGGTGCCCTAATCCCACAGTTTAAGTGGATAGTCCTGGTTCTTAGATTCTTTGGGTGTCCTGATGCCTTTAAATAAGCAGTTTATGATAAAGTTTATTTTCATTATGAAGGGGAACTTTGCAGACATTTGCATTCTGGAGTTTTTTTTAAACTACCTTTATAAAATCTTAACCAACAATCAAAAGTTTCACTATTTCCAAACAGAGAGACTCATGAATATAGAGCAAACTATCATAGGCTTGCATGTATTTAAGTTCCATTAATGTTGGTAAAAACAAGAAAATATTTTTTACCCTTTTATACAAGAATTTAGTCTTTTCCTTTGAACATGAAAATACAATAAAATTCCAACAATGTAGTTTTATGCAGCATTTTTAAAACCCCTTTAATTCAAGTAGGCTTAGGGAACGAAAGAATGGATCTTTAGGTTGTAAACCCTTGCCTTACAGCATGGACATGTCCCCGTCTCTGTCACATGATTGTTGTCTTCTGTTGTCTCATGCTCTGGTTTGGTTTCTCCTGTCTCTCTGCAGATTGCTGCGATGCCTCCGATGAGTACAACAGCCACGCTCGCTGCCAGAACACTTGCTGGTCAGTCGAACCTAAACCGTCTTTACAAAAAACCAAATATAATTATGATCCTTTATTATGAGAAAAACTAGGAGACTAGTTAATACTCAACAGAAATCTGAAACTCAAACAGATAAATTAGTAACGCAGCATCTTTGCCAGGTTTCAGTAGTTCTTTTAACTGCATCTTCAGCTGTGGTGAATTACAGATTGTGCCACCAGGGGGCAGAGCATCACTACAATTAAAGGCTGGTTGTACTTTCAGGCTTACTCTAGTCAAAACATTGTTCAGTGGAATTAATTTGTGTTAAAGGCAAATCTGACTCACAGCCTCATTACACTTTCCCCCCTACTTCACTTTAAAATGTTCTCATCATCCAAAGATGTTTTTTTTGTCTGCAGATAATTTAACTCCGCTACCACTTCCTGCTGCCTAGGTGGTAGGCCCATAGATATTTGTGAGAACTCATCTTTCTGTCTGGCATCAATCCTGCCCGTGCCTTATTTCGAAGTTTGACCACGATAAGACGCAGAAACGGAACCCGTTATGTGTGAACGTATGCTAGTAACCCACTTTTCTACTCCACAGTCCTTCATTTGTTTCATTCATCGCTGTTGCCTCAAAACCACATAAAAGCAGAGTCTCGTTATTTTTTCATTAGGTCCCCTCTCGTATTGTGTTTGCCAGCCTTCAAAAATGATTATGCTCAACCATATAGCATTAGAACCCCCATCTTATTTACTCTTCTATTCCCCCTATTTATTTGGATTCTTGCTGCATCCTAGGCCCTTAAAAAGGATTGGATTGCAGCATCTTGGTGACCAGAGCTGGGGTGGTCCAGGCTTTTCTCAGTAATGATGCGTCCTTTCTCTTGCCTTTCCTCCAGGAATCTGGGACAAAAAGAAAGGGCGTACGTGGAGGGGCAGATGAGGACCTTGGATGAGGGTTTGCGACTCAAGCAGCAGATGATTGAGGAGGGAGTGCTGCTTTGGAGGGAGAAGCAGGTATGTGTGATTTTTTGTTGTTATTGCTGAAGGAATAAACTGCTCCAAACATATCCCTGGCATCATTAAATGGTCTTGCAGTATACACAACACTCTGTACTTTATTTTAACCCCTCAGGAAATTAAAAGTAAAGCGCGAATAATCTACAGCTAGATTTTAGAGTCTAGAAATCTGAAGCCATTAGGTTTAGGAACTAGTTTAGTAGAACCGTTTTTTCACCAAAGAGGTTCCAGTGCTCGACCAGGGGTGGTGCTGAAGTGGGTTCTTAGCTTATGCTGTAAAAAACACTTAAGAGCCAGGTTGGCTTTCTCTCATCATAACTACACTTCAGACATCTCCTCTTGTACATGTCTGAGCCTGCCTTGGTCATATCTGGAGTCTTTGTTGCAGATCACAGTGTAGAGAGACAGTTGATCTGAACCGATTACATGTTATATTAAAGAGATACTTTGCAACTTTTTCACTTTTGTAAATCATTTTCTTGACCAAGTATTTGTTAAAATTACCCTTTAAAAGGTTAATGAAATGTCACTCGGGCCTCTACCACCCTCTGTGGCCAGAATACCACACTTGCAACTTCAGAGTTGCTGGCCCAGGCCCTTCTGGTGGAGGGAGCTGTGGAGTGGAGTTGACATACCTGGCGCTGCAGTCTGCTTCTGGCACGTTTCCTGCATGTTTGAGATCACGAACACAGATGATTTGTTTAATTTAGTGGTGATTCACTCCTGCAGACACTAAGGAAGGCTGGGAAGACATTAGGTTAAGGTGTTAAAAAGACGAACGCATAGCGAGGAGGTAAGTTTCACTTTCAGTTTAACCATAGTAAATAAGAACAGACACTAGGGGGTGCTTAAAGCAAGCAAACTGCAAATTGTTCCTTTAAAGTGACTCTAGGTAGTTTTGGCTTTCTTTAACCCTGTCTGTCTGTTAGGGCTGCACGATATAAGGAAAACCTGCGATATTCGATAACAGTGCTTAATATTGCGATATCGATATTACTCGCGATAAATGAACAAATACTAAAGTATGCAGTGTTGATGTCGTCTGGCGTGTGACGGCTGCTCTGGGTTCAAAGCAAACAAACACTAATGCATGAATTCCATTACAACATAACATTTTTTATTGCTAAAATATGCAGCTGCACCTGCTACTGTATTAGCAGCAAAACAACAAACTGCATGCATCCAGTTTCTCAGTGACTTTAAAACATCACCTCCACCATAAAACTTTTTCTGATGCTCCAAATACAGAAAAACATCCCTTACCAGGGTTTTTGAATAAATAAAAATATCAGAAAATAAGTTTAAATGTTAAATAATAGTTAACATCACTTAAATGCAACAGCAAATTCTCTCATTGCTACTGAACATTTTCTCCACTTATGTGGTTATGATATGAGGCTGTTGCTGTAATTGGGAAGTGAACTGTGCTGGGCCAAACTAGGAGAATATTAAGATTTTCTGAGGGAAAGAGAAAAACAATTGTCTACCTTTCAGAAGAGGAACTGGCAAAAAACTACATGGAAAATATGTGAAAACATTTGTTTTTAACCCCAAATTGAACAAGTTTACCTAGATCTTAAAAAGCAGCTCAGATGATGAAACTGCAGCTATGATTCTGGTAACAAGCTAACAAATTGAACTAGCTCCTCTTAAGATAACCAGCTAGCAGAGCTTCTGACTGACAGTTTTTGTGCAGCAGCAAATCAACTATCCTGATTAACAAGGTTATAAAAGCTCATAAATGAAAAATCACTTTGATGTGTGGGGGAACTTTTCCAGGCCCTCTTTAGCAGGGTGGGACTGGGAGGAGAGTGCTGTAGCCTTTAAGCTGGAAGCTAACCGGAGCCTGGGGCTAACATCACCACCCGGTGGTACACTAGCGACATGAAGGTGGGTTGGTTCACCGGCACGTGTCGGAGTCAGCCCGGTAAAAATGATTAACAACACCGAGCGGAGTCACGCTCACGTTTGAAAGCAGCGCTGATTCCAGAAACCTCAGCACAAAGTGCGTTCATTGCTCTGAGCCAGCATGATGAACAAGGGAATGGCGCCGCTAACTCAGTTCGGGTGTTACTTTCCATCCCAAGGGTCTACGTAGGGGGCGGGCGTATTATGTGAACGGACCCATCTGATTGGCCGCATATCAGAAGGGCTACATTTGATTGGTCAAATTATACTTCAGCGCAAAAAACAGAGCTGGTTTACAAAAAGTTGATGTATGACACGGATGGAAATGTTTCAACCAAACATTTATCGCCGTTTTTGACGTGCTTTGCGATGGGCCTATCGCACGTCCTGTTATCGCGATGACGATAATTTTTCGATATATTGTGCAGCCCTAGTGTCTGTTTAAAATCACTGTTGTAAAAAGAGTTTTCTTCTCCCCCTCGCTGTGTGTCTGTTTTTTCAAACCAGCTGACCAAATTTTAAAGTTTCACTTACAAGCACAATAGCACGATCTCAAGGTTTGCATCCAATTTTAATCCTTTATCTCTGAGCTCTTGCTTTGTAATGTTGGCTATTGCTAAACTCCTTTTTCAGTCAGATATTCTTTTTCTCTCTTTTGTCTCATCAGATAAAGGTCTTTGTTTCTTCAGAGGATCCGCCATGTTGAACACATTTCAATAAACGCCAACCAGGTTCACTTACCTGTCTGTTTTGAAGTGTAAACAGGGATTACTGTTTCTCACGAGATAGGTGACTTTGTGAGACTTCAGGAGATTGGTCTGGAGAGGCTCAAGTTGGTATTCTGCCCTTCAGCAGCAGAAGGGGCTGAGAGATAATTTATTCACACTGTTGAGTGCCATGGTAGCTCCTACCAGCTATAGACAACAATAAAAAAAAAAACGACAAATTACTTGAAACACAATTCCTTTAATCCAGGTGTCATATGTTCATCAATAGAGTTTTAATCAACAGCCAAGAGTTTGTGAACTCTTTATACTGCTATTTGTTAAATGTAAATGCAGATGTATGCTACAAGCAGGATCTATAAACACCAGCTGCTGAAGTAAAAATGAGTAACAATGTTTATTAACTCATTCGCTTCCAGCCGTTTCCTGATCGTTAAGGCATTCGCTGCCAGCGTTTCACACCGTTTTTACTGTATTTTTAAGAGTCACAGAACGTTGCACGCTAGGATGATGTCGACGCCAAAACATCCAAAACAAAGTGGAGACTCACCTCTTAGTTCAGGAAGAATCCGCGCGTTTTGAGCGTTATCCGTTCTTTCATAATCCCTTGTCGAATTGTGATCGGCAGAAGCTTTTCCGGTTCGCGCCCCACTTTTTTTTACAGCAGCGGCCCAAACCGATCTCCTAACACATGGATTTTCTGCTTCCTGATCACTGACGTGTGACTTATGCGGATGAAGATCGGCTTTAGAGCTGGGATGTTTGTTCTCACTGTGCTGGGGCTTGTTCCGATGCCCACACAGTAAAAACATACAAATGACGACTTTAGTCGTCATTGGCAGTGAATGAGCTAACAGATGTAAAGTCACTCATTATCAGAACAGTGTATTCTTCAGTCGGGTCACAGGGAGCTGCCGTCCAACCCCACTAGTCATCAAGCAAGAGGCGGGGGACACCTTGGACAAGTCTTCAGTCCATCACAAGGACACAGAGACACACAACCAGTCACAAACTCACTCACAATAGGGACAATTTAGTTGCCATTCAACCTAAAATGCATATTTTTGGTATGTAGGAGGAAACCAGATTATTCGAATAAAACCCACCCATACCTTGGGAGTGCATGCTAACTCCACTCAGGTTGGCTACATCCAGGATTTGAACCTCACACCTTCATGCAGCTGTGCCACCATGCAGTCCCCAGTTTCAAACTGTTTATGAATTTCAATGAAAACAGCATTTGTGAAAGCAGCTCTATGCAGTGCTCTGACCTGCTTTAACTGTGTGATGAGAGACGATGACTTCATGTCATTATTGCACATCAACAGCCAGTTTGTTTTATTATTCATATTAAAGAGGAATATTTTGTTTTGAATTAGAGTAAAAGTGAAACTAATTTGGAGTGTTTTCATTGGTTGTTGGTCTTCTTGAGCCTGCCTCCTGCTCCTAATGGAAAGTGTTAATTCCCAGTGGACCAGTGAAGAGTTGGTACTAAGATGGAAGTAGAGTTTTGGTGCTATAATCAGAGTTTCAGCGATGAAAACGGAAAACAATAGATGCTAAGTAAGCTCTAGCTTTGTCTCAGCACTGAAATCTAGCAGTAAAACTGTTAAAGGAGCAAATGCTTAGCCTGAGCACATTAAAATTAGACCAAAGAGCCATGTTTGAACTTGTTAGACAACATTATCAAGAGAAAGGCAAGTTGCTTGAATGTGCTGGATGACCCAACATTTCTCTGGATGCCATTCATTAGATCTGTTGCACATCTCATGTCTCTCCTCTGTCTCCTCTCCTTATTGTCAGGAAACACATAATGAAACATGCCCTTAAAATCATCATAAAAATGTGCTTCTAATTTGTAACAGCTGTGCGAAGATATTGTTGATGTTCTCCTCTGCACATCGATTTAGCTTTTCCCCCTTGGCGTCCATGTGCCGCCACATTGTTACTGAAGTGTTATCACCTGGCTAACACGCTTGAGGGACGGGGACGCGGAGGTTAATTTGCTTTTAGATGCGCTGGATTCTGAGGATTTCTGTTTTAAGTGAGCAGCTTGCGGTGCTGATTTAGCATGTGTGTTCCCAGCACCTGCTGCTACATACGCCTGTTGGGCAGCCTGCGCCAGTTTCCAGCACCAACCTTTGCCTATTGTGGTGGCCCATTTTTAATCCCTTCTGAATGGGATTTGTTTATTGGGACTAGCTCCTACAACAACCAGTTTACTTTGTCACTATCTTAATCATGTTTGTCAGCATAAGACATGTTTTTAAACTGGTATTTTTGTCTAAGTATAAAGTTAAACTGGTTTTAATTTTACAGGAAAAATATTCTGGGATAAACTAGATGAATGCATTTCAAACCACA